CATGCCTGTCTCACAACTGCAAGGTCCTGAGTTCAATCCCCTGTACCAAAAAAAAAAAAAAAAGAGAGAGAACACAAATACTATCTTTGAAACAATGTATATCTGAAACATGAATGCATGTAGTTATACAAGTGTTTATACAGTACTTGTACTGTACTTGTGTTGTACTATCTTTTACTTGATTACTTATTTGTCTAAATATAGAATCTACATAGAATTTCTGGTATTTTACTGTGATGTACCTTGATGGGATTGTATAATCTCATCAAGGTTCTCAAATTCTTGCAGTTTTGTAAAGCTTTTATTGGGAGAATGGGTAATCTTTTTTTCTTATTATTTTCTATCTTCTATTTTTCTAGCTTTTTTATTCTCTCATCTTATCAATTGAGTATAGGAAATTGTGGACTAAATCTCCGATATTTTTCTCTCCAATTTCCTATGATTATATTTTTTATCCACAAAATTTCAGAAGATATCTTTTAATGTATCTTCTGATGTTCCTATTAAATATTTCATTTATATGATCAGATTTTATTTATTTTAAGCTTTTTATATTTGAATATTCCTATACCTTTTTTCTAGTCATTGATTAAATATTTTTTGATTATCAGTGTATAATGTATAACTTTGTTCTGCATCAGTTAGATTTATTATTCTATTTCCTTTGGTTTTGTTATCTTCTGTGTATTTTTTATCTATATTTTATGCTAAGAGCTTTGTTTGAGTCTTACGGTCTTAAATTCTCAGTATACATGAAAATGAAATGCTATAAAGCTTATTTAAATGTGCAATTCTAGTGCCTGTGTGTGACATGTTACAGATAGCCTCACTGTTAGGGGATTGGTCAAAGACCCAGCTGCTCCTTTGTTAAGGCAAAGCTATCAATTTTCTATAGAGATGAATTTTTGATATTCACTCTGGGAAGCATATACTTGGTTACTGTTGCTCTAGGTATCAGATGAAGGAAGAAGACATGAATGCCTCATGTCTTTGACCTAATAATCCTTGCCCATAGTCCTATTCTCTTCTGTGCCTGATAACTGAATCTATGGCCTCTGTGTCCAGTATCTCCAGAGGTATTCATAAAAGTAGTATTGAAATGAAGTATTTATAGAAAAGCTTCCGGCTGTTCCAATGTTAGTGAGGGCTAGTGAACTAGTTTACTGTGTAGGTAGCTACCTGAAGTTTAACTGATGTATATGACTTTTCAATTCATCTCTCTTTCAGCACCATGCTTCATCCTATCATGCAAGTTATTTAAGAAACAGAAATTCTCAGAATTTCCTGAATTTTTATATAAATTACCTTGCTGTTCATTAATACCTCTTAAGAAAATATTCAAGTTTCGGGTCTCTCCTCTACCCAGTGTCCACACCTTCCTCTAAATTCCACCTTCCAAATACCTGTTCAACTTTTTCATCCAATGCAGTCTAATTCCTTGGTTTATACCATGTAGAATATTTTCCTATCATTTAGCAGTGCTTGCAAAGAAAAAGTTATAATTCCTATATTCAAATGAGCTGTATCTTTTGATTAAAATAATACAGATATGTATGCTGTTGTAAGAACAGATTTAACCTGTGAAACATAACATTATTTTTTTCATAAATACCTAATATTCTTTAGAATATTTCTATTGATGGATTATTAATTTTACTTTTATGAGTTTTATATTAAACAATGAGTACTCAACAGGAAAAATATCACAAAAATAAAGTATTGAATTTTTAACATTTGGTATTTATAAAATATCAAAATTTTCACCATTGACTGTTTTCTGGTGTACAAAGTCTAAAAAAGAACAACACAAATAAATTATATGAACTACAATGAAAATACCAATAGCTACCAGGAGCAAAAAAAACCTCTTTAGTTCAATTATCACACCTAAGGCAGTCTGCACACATGACAGCAGCATGTTCCATACATATATTGCTTACACTGACAGCACATGTGGTTTGTTTTCCTGTCCTTTTTGTAGAACATCCTTGTCATCTCACTGGTCTTGCTGTTTTTTCAGAAGTTTCTTATTACATTACACATTGTGTAGTTAACAGGATCATAAAATATCAATAAAATAAAGTATTAAATTCTTAATATGTATTGTGCATTTAGAATAAACATCAACATTTTCCCATCAGCTGTGTACTTGCTTAAAAACCTAAAAGACAGTATCAGATAAATTCCTACATGAACTACAATGAAAATACCAATAGAACTCTACTGCAAAAATAAGCTTTGCTTCAGAAGCCACACCCAAGGCAGCCTTCACACATGACAACTGCATGTTGCTTGTACATGTCTCACTTGCACTGACAACAAATGTGCTTAGCTTTCCTTCTCTATTTGGCAGGTCATTCTTGTCACCTCTCTTCTCTTCCTGTTTGGAGCTGTATTGTACAACATGCACTTAGGAGGGGTATAAGATGTCAATAAAATAAAATATCAAATATGTAATGACTGTTTACAATAGACATCAGTATTTTCACATCAGCTGTTTACTTGCTTACAAAACCTAAGGATAACATCAGAAATAAAAACCTATGTAAGTTACAATGTAAACACAAACAAAAGTCTACCACAGAAATAATCTTTGCTTCAACTATCATACCCAAGGCAGTCTTCACACATAACTGCTGAATGTTCCATATACAAGTACTGCTTCCATGGATAGCATGTATGTTTTGTTTTCCTATCCTTTCTTGTAGTGCACACTTGATGTCTTTTTGGTTTTCCTGTTGTCATAGCAAGTCTTTGGGATGGTGCACCTACCTGTTCATCTGTCAATATTTCAGAATACTCCACGATTCTTTGGCATAGTTCCCTTGACAAAAACATTTTGTTTTTGCTCTGCTGTAAATGATCTCTTATGAATTCCAGTCTCAATCTTCTAAGAAAATTTCTGTGATATTTTGTACTTGTTATTTTCTTTGTAAACTATCAAACTATTTATGCCACACATGTTTAGGATCAAGTAAAAGACAATCATTGGCCAATGCTTTGTGTTTCAAGGGACATAATAGTTGCTACATAACTCATCAACAACATCTACTCCTCCTTTGGTTTTGTTCTAGAAAGTTTCCATCTCAGGGTTCTGTTTTGTCAAAGTTTCCATACCAGTATTTCCATCATGGTGCAGTGTTAACAGCAGTACCAATTTATTTTTCTTTGCCATATATGAGGCCAGTGTAAATCTTTCTGAAATCCAAATATTGTGCTATACAATTCTCTGTTTGAAATTGCAACATTTCATTTGGAATTTCTGCTTTGTTCCTTTTGTATTAAGTTTTTACACTGGCCAACTTGTGCTCTGCTAGCAAATGTAACATCAGTTGGAAACTGGTAAACCAATTATTGAATGTCACATTCTGATTAGTTTGGGAGATGAGAGCAACAAGTCTATTTCAGCCTGTTGGCTGAGTTCCAGGATAAATGTCTTAATTGAAATCATAATAAGTTTTGCATCTACAAAGGCATAAATATTTATGGGATATTTTGACCCATCACTTTTCCATAAGTCTTTTACATTTTTGTAATTATCACAAGAAATTCCTGCTAAGTACAGCAGACTTATGAATGATTTCAGTTCAGCTAGTGAGGTGTCATAATAAATACACTTTTGAATATGACTATTAGTGCATATAGAACATTTTACTTGCATTTCAACCTTTGTGTATTTCACAGCATCTTGTAGCATTTTATCTGCTACAATTTCCGTCATTGAATGGCAGTGCTGGCATTCTGTCCAATACATTTCACCCCTGCCAAGACCCTCACTATATTTTAGGACCTACTTCTAACATTAGATTGTTCCATTTGGTTATGTGGCCACTTTGCAGCATTGCCCTACTCATATTGCTGTCTTCTTCATTATCTGAATCAAGGAGGTCTGCGTTCTCTGTGCCTGTATCAGTCAATTCTTGCTCCATTTCACTGTCACAGGAACTTTGGCTCACATGGCCAATGTCAAAGTCATTGTCGTCGTCATCATCATCATCTACCCACACCACTCTTCTGTTATGAAAACATGTATTTTACCGTAATGGATCATCATCATCATCCATGCATGAGTAATCTGATGATTCACTTTTGACCTCTAAAACTTACAAATCTAGTTTTTCATGTGCCATTGTATTGAACTGGGCTACTTCTATCAGAAAAAAATGTTTTTTAACAAATCCTGCAATTGTATGAGTCTATTGGACCTTCTGTAATGCTCTTGTAAACATGCAAAACTAGTTAGATTGAGCATATCATGGGTAAAAATCCTGTTTTGCCATTTTTGCACCTGGGCACACACCTTGCTGTTCATCATACCGAGTGGGTAAACACATAGATTGCTTCATGTATCCCACAGGGAAAGGTACTGAGATGTGCAGCTGGCTGTTACACTATAAGACAAATTTACAGTAGAAAAGTAGAGGATGGGTCCACTGGACGTAGTGTCATGCTCAGAAGGATAATTTGGATCAAGGTAGCAATTTTTCACATTTTTTGCCTCTATGTTTTATTTAGACATGTGTTTGAGTCACATCTTTGACCTTGTCCTGTTGTTCTTTTTTTCTTTAATGTTTTAATTTACATTTATTATTTTACAGAGTATCAAAGTAAGCTGGCTTCCTCCTCCATCAGGAACACAAAATGGATTTATTACTGGCTATAAAATTCGACACAGAAAGACAACCCGCAGGGGTGAGATGGAAACACTGGAGCCAAACAACCTCTGGTACCTATTCACAGGTCAGTGTTCACACAGCGCAGTCTGGCAAGGTTTTGATGAATTAAATGCTTTAGGAAGAAAATATACTCTTACTTCAAAGGAACATTGACTTTTTTCCTGGCAGGTAGCGTTTATTGGCCTGAGCAAGAATAACCTTTATATTTTTAACGTTAATGCTTTCACTAGGTATTTTGCTTCTGGATCATCATCTTAAATACATCCCAAAAGTTTTGGCATATTACTTTCTCTGTCTTAATAATTCAACAGCTCCAATTATCTAACAACTTTTAAAAGTTGCCTAATAAAATCCCAAGTTTAGGTCAATTTAGTCCCCCTTCCCAAATTGCAAGGATGAGGAAAGGGTAGAAAATGAGAAAAAGGAAAGATTTGGAGATAAAGATAAAGATTATTCTACTTTCCATAAATATATAAGTAAATCCACTTTTATAGCAATATTGAGGGACCCAACTGCCATGAAGGAAATATGTTCTCATTTTTTAAAATGAATTGTCAGATATCTCCTTTAACTATTGGAACCCTTAGTACATATCAGCCTAGTTTTCTAGAAAACAGACTGAGACAAGAGTATCAAGGTTGTGTCTTTGGATGTATGAGCCCAGGAATGCAAGGCAGAATGAATAAGGCAAGTGAGACAGGAAAGAACAGATATCAGATAATGGTGGTAAATTGATAGGCTGGGGTGGTTACAACCTTGGAACAAGGTTGGTAGGTCTTGCTAGGTCTGGTGGAGCATCTTCTGAGAAGCTGCACAAACTGCAGTGTTTCCCAATCTATGGCACAATAGGAAATATGAGCAACTTTTCTGGGCTATCCATTAAAGGTACACCAAAAGGTGTACCTCCAGGCAAACCCTGAGAACCTGGAGCCTCTTGTGAGTGTGTGAACAAGGTTTCTCTGTGTTTGTCAGCACTGTATGTGATGGTAGCTTGGTGTAGGGCAGTGGGGCAACCTTGTAGCACAAGTGTTATTGTTTTTTATTTCTTTTAAGACAAAAGATGTAGATGTCTATTGTTTTTTCTAAACAAAAATCTCAGTATTCAGGTTTAATTACAATGTTGGCACTTTGTGATAGGATACCTAAGTGGGTTTGGGGTTGCAGTTTGGCACTCAGCCTCTAAAAGGTTCACTATCAGGGTCTAGGAAAAGACTCATAGTTTTGCAGCTCTATGAATGGCAGGAGCTCTCACTAGGGCCTTGTGAAGTAAAACATACAGCAGTTGCTCATGACAGTTATTGGGAAGGTAGTGTTGAACAAATCCAGTGGGCACAACTGGGTCCAAAATAATATACAAAATATAGAACATATAATTTACATCTGATGAATACACTTTCAGTGAAAATAAGAAAAAAATAAATCCTTTATTATTTTTCTCTACGCCAGATACTCAGTAAGTTTTCCAATCCAAATCCACACACAAATGTTTTAAAACTTTTATTTAGCCCATTACCTGAGACTTTCGAGTAACCTGGGTTCTTCCCCTCAGGGTTATTTTGCTTTTTGTCTTGGTTTGGTTTGGTTTGGTTGTTTTTGTTTGTTTGTTTGTTTGTTTTATCTTTTGCCTTTTATACCTGTAAAAGTTTAACCTAATGGTAGGAGTTCTATCATGGTAGATTGCTAGAAATCACATTATCTGTTTTAAATATGGACAGAATCTCCTAGGCAGGTATTATTGGATCTAGGAGAAAGTTATAGTATTTTATTGTATTAGGTAAAAAGTTAAGCTTCTGTCTTTTGGCTTTTTACTTTTGTCCTAGTGAACTAATGGGAAGAAGGTAAAGACAATTGAAGTTAAATTGAGATATATATGCTCATTATGATATATAGTGCAACCATGTAGTTTATGTTGAGAGAAATCACAAAAATTGAAAAATCTTACTGTAAAATATATCAGTATAATTCTTGATATTCAATATTTGACTAGAAAAGATCCTAAGATTATTTTAATCTAAGCCTTTCTTTCTAAAGCTATAAAGATTTGAACCCCAGAAGCTTCTTATTATTTTCCATCTCAAATGAAATAATTAACATTACAAAAAAACCTTCTTTTAAACAACAGTGAAAGAATGAACCCTACAACAGAAAAATCAAAGATTGGATACTCAATTCCCTGAACTATAAATGGCCATAACCATGATAAATGTTCAATCTCATTGGTAAATAGAGAAATGTAAGTTAAAAATGAGTTAACATTTTCCTTTGATTAAAGTAATAAAGATAAAAATGAATGATGATGCCCTGTTCTGGGAAGTATGCAAAAAATATGAATTCTCATGTATTGTTATGGGAACAGAAAATTTCTAGAATGTTACTGGAAAGCAATATGCACATGTATGTTAGTGTGTGTAGATAGGTATCTATCTACCTATATAAATGTATTGTGTATACATTTTTGTCATAAAAAGAAAATGGATAAGTAAGTTTTCTAGGTTTTAGAAATTCATCTTGGGGAACTATTATATTTTTGGTAAATATTTTACCTAAAAACATGGGCATTGCAGCATTATTTTAACAGTAAATAATTTTTAAAAGCCTAAATATCCAACTATAGGCATTTACCTAAAAAACTCAGACATAATTATATAATACAACACTATACAGCTACTGAAAATGGTTCAGAATCAAAATTTTAAGTCACAAGAAATAGAGTGTAAAATATTATAAACGAATGACTCAGTTTTATTTGATATTAGTACATGAGTCCACATTTATAAACAAAAATTATGCATTTGTATGAAGATATTTAGAACAATTCATATGCTAAATTATTAACAGCCAGAGTTGTTTATGTGTTTAACAACAGTAAAATATGTAATTGTATATATAAACTAAGAAACAAAAATCAAGACTCTAACAGCATATTACAACATGGTTATCAAAATTGAGGATTTCCCCTCAGCAAAGCTAACTCTGTATCAGCTATACAAGAAAGAGGTTCTAAACTAAATGAATAGTAGCCTTTAGCTAGCAGAATTTTCTAGTGTGAATTATGTAGTGTTTATGAGTTATTTTGGCAAATACAATCTAACACATTCAGCTCAGTGTTATAAAACTAAGATCCCAATTACCTAAATACACAAAATATTACAACTTTCCCTCTAAAGAGGAAAATTCACTGAAAGAGAGCAAGCAAGCATTAGCCTATTCACTATTAAAGACCTTGTGTTACACATAAGCTGCCATTACAAATTGCTACGAATTTGATGGCTTCAAACAGTACAAATTTAGTGTCACAATTCAGGGGGCTAGAAGTCTGAATTAAAATGTTGGCAGTGCTAGTTTTATCTGGGGGGGTCTGATGAAGGGTTTCTGGTGGTTACAAGCATCCTTAACATCCCTTGGCTTATTGATGCACTGTGCCCAGCTTTGCTCCACTCTCTGCTTCCATTTTTGCATCCCCTCCCTTTCTATTTGTCTCTGTGTCCTCTCCTACTCTAATAAGGCTATCAATCAGTGGGAATAGGCCCATGACCTCAGTCCAGAATGATTCTTCCTGAAACCCTCAACAAACTATGTTTAAAGACCCTATTTCTAAATGAGGTCACATGCTGACCTCCCAGCAGTGCATGAATTTTAGGAGGGAACTGTGTGTCTCATTACAGCTTCTTTTTACCATTTTCCTCTCAAAGACAATCATTTCGAATTGTATCCACTAATAAACTTTACTCATTTAAAAATAAATAATTCAGCATTACATTTTTACTTCAAAAATATGTGTGACAATTAGGGTTTCTAATCAAACCAGGGTTACCCCTCACTATTCTGATTTATCATCATTCCAGTGAAAAACAAAGAAATAGGGTGAATTAATTAGTGCATTATTGGGAACAGCTGACAAGTACCCATTCCTGTCTTCAAAACTTGTAAGTATCTGGTTTCCAAACTTGCAGCTTTTATTCATACTATTACTTCATATCAAGAATTATAAAAATGCATTTAGGAATAGAAACATAATATGAGCAGTTATGCTTTTACCTGTTCCTGATATTTATTGCAGTAAGCCATGTATACTCCTTTCTAATTTGAACAAAAGCAATAAAAGCAAACCATAGTTTCATGCCTTAAAAATTTAAAAACAAAGGTGAGAATAGTGGTGCATGCCTATAATTCTAGCACTCTGGGTGGCTGAGGGAGGCAGATCACAAGTTTAAGACTCATCTTGGCAACTTAGCAACTTACCAATACCGTGCTTCAAACTAAAAAATAAACTTTAAAACAGCTAGAATGTAGCTCAGGGAGAAGGCCCTACCTAGAATGATTCCTAGTACTCTCAAGCAGGTAGATTAGGTAGTTAGATTAGGTAGGTAGATACATAATTTCTCTCCTTTGCCCTAAGACCTGGCTTCAGAAACACTTGTTGCATTTGTAGACATTTTGGGAATGTCTTCAAAAGCTGAAGCAGCAAGAAGTACTACACTGAAAGATTGGCTGTGGTTTAGACTCGTCCCCAGGACATGTCTGGTAACTAATACACTTTGTAGTAAACAGAAGCGATTGATTTTCCATATAAATCTGCACCACTGTAAAATGAACAGGATTTGACCCCATGTTTTCAATGCCTGTAAGATACATGACTATATTGATTTGGCTGTTAGAAAATTGGAAATGCCTGAATGCTTCATTTGTATGATATAAATATTCAGGCATAAAGACTCAAAGTTTTTTTAATCCTCTATTTGTTAGACAGGTGTCTTGTTGTGAATGTTTTTTTACTACGATAATGAGACATCTGCAATAATGAAGTAATTCAGAGTTATAACAAGGATTTTAAATCACTACTATCAGTTTCATTGTGGGAAGACATGTCAACTAAATTTTAAAGTGCTGTTTGTTTGGTTTTTTTTTTAATTTCAGAGGGCTCTTCACAAAAGATTGGAATTGAATTGAAGACAATTCTTTTATTGTACAGTCAATATAGAATAAACATGATGATAAACATGCTTTGATATTTTGTGGACTGAGAAATTGAGACACTAGCATAGAATTGGTATAACAAGGTTA